TTTTCTACACTGATGGCTCAAAATTAAACAACAGAGTTGGCGCTGGGGTAACGGGTCCTGGTGTCAACATATCAATATCTATGGGTAAGTGGCCAGCTGCATTTCAAGCAGAGATACAGACAATTATTGAACGTGCTGCGGTTTGCTTGCGTCGTAATTACAAACATACATACAACATATATATATTTTTTCTCTGACAGCCAAGCTGCACTAAAAGCATTGAGGTTTGTTACGTGTTCTTCTGAACTGGTTTGGGAATGCGTTCAATTACTACAGCAGGTGGCTATAAATAGTACAGTTAGCTTATTTTGGGAACCTGGGGTTGAAGATAATGAAAAGACAGATTTATTAGCAAGATTAGGATCATCAAAACCATTCCTAGGTCCAGAACCATTTTGTGGCCCTTAGAATGTACCATCAAAATGGAACTAAAGAACTGGGAAAAATCGATGATTGATAACATTTGGAAAAACACTAAAACAGCTCGACAGTCCAAAAGATTTATATCACCTAATAAAGGAACAACTCAAAGACTTCTTAGTCTCTCCAAAGAAGATCTATGTACTTTTAGTGGCCTAGTCACGGGCCACTGTTCAAGTAAATATTATTTTAAACAGCTAGGAAAATTGGAAGATGACAAGTGTCGATGTAGCGAGTGAAAACTCGGAAAATTTACTATGTAGCTGTGCAGCACTTTTTCATAAAAGGAAAACATTTTTCGATAAGGCTTTAATACAGCCCTCAGATGTATGGATGACTTCTCCCAGTAAGGCAATAAAGTTCATTCGTTCTATAATACCTTACTGGGATAATGCCTAGTGGAAAGCTAGCGGAAATCACTCAAACAAATAGTGATACAACACCCTGCTGTGGCATACATTAAACCGGGGCCCGCCACAATAGATCAAATAACTGGTCGCAGTAGAAAAATGTACCCAACAAAGGAAAAAAACATCGATCCAAATATTCCTTAGCAAACCAAGGAAGTTTTTAATTATGCTCTTGAATCTCTAACTACTTCTATAGTTAAAGCAAGAGTTGCCTCAGTACTAAAATGCGAGGTTAAATTCGATTCAATTATAATAGACGATTTTGAAATTGAGTTCTCTCGAGAAAATATTTTTGATGATTTCTGGGGGACTAATTTGGACGCCATTACTAAAAACATTCAACATAAGAAAGCCTCAATATCCTTATCAAAATACTCCGAGAGAGTACCTTGCCTTTCTTGGTAAAATTATTTAACAGATGCTTCCAAGTGGCACACTTCCCTGATAAATGAAAAAATGAAAAATTTGTTCCAATTTGAAACCAGATAAAAATCCAGATGCAGCTTCTAGCTTCTAGCTATCGTCCTATCAGTGTGCTTTCTGCAATAAGTAAACTTTTTGAAAAGATAATTTTGAATAGAATGACACTTCACATCAATACGAATTCAATTTTTGCAGATGAACAGTTTGGATTTCGCCAAAGGCTTCCAACTATTCATCAACTCTTAAAAGTGAATTCGTTCAAACAAATCTGAAAGCTGCTCTACTGAATTTGAAATAAATAAAGAGTTAAAAAAAAACATCCTGAGGACTATGTTTAATCTGTGCGAGTTTAGGATCTTCCACCAGGAGTCCCTGACCGTGATCTAGCGTTGGTGCTAGCGAAATACGGTACATTGAAGCGTGTCATCCAGACCAGTGCCTCGGCATATACACTAGTGTACGTGGTGTATATATGGATGTGATAAAGTTAATTCTCACCGCTCTGCATTTCCTCAATCGGAAGGGACATATATTCTATTAAGGGAACACAAACATATCGACAGTGAGCATGCATAAGGGCGTAAACGCGATGATCGACTTTCTTCGTCGATTTTCTCTTTTGTTAATAACTCGCTAGATTTAACGTTTCTCGTTGCGTTTGCTGTTGCTTTTGAATGCTAATACAACCTGTTACAACCCTACATTGATCAAATTATAGAAAATTGTTTCGCTTAGCTGTAGCAATGCAAAGAGAAAATCGATGAAGAGAATCGATCATCGAACATACGCGCTTATGCATTCTCACTGTCCATATGTTTTTTTTTGTGTGGGGCTGCGGATGCTTTCCTGCCACAACAGGATGAAGATAACCGTGAAGATTGGACCGGTAGCAGTTTGAATAGTATACACTCCGAAAAATTGATGTAAATTTAGGAGTTCTGAGACAGACATATACGAGCGTCCATTTTGACATAAAATTAAGTCATAACAAACGCAACATTCAGTTCAATCAAACGTACTTTTCGTCGAGTAACGAACTGTTCAATCTTGGAGCCCTTCATTACGTCTCATCCTTTATGTCAAAGATGAATTCCGTCACGTGTAAAATTAGTTATTTCTAAGTGTGTAGTACGGGAAAAAGTAAGCAGAATGCAGTCTTCCGGGAAGAAATTAATTCAATCACAGACCTTAAAAAAACTCTGAAATTATTGGTGCCGTGGAGTTTTTCATATTATATATAAAATAAACTATTTAAAAAAAAATATACTACCGGTACATCACAAAACTTTATTTTTGTTTTGTCACAAATCCGAGTGATTTTTCTTCTTCTTATTACTGTTATATCTGAGTCATTCAACGTTAAGTCTCCATCCCCCTATCAAACGATAAGTACGAACATCCACGAAGTGAACACTATTGTAAATCTACGAATCGATTTATATAAAAGATGAATACATTAAAACTGAGTGGTCAGTAGAGTAATGCAAAATTTGAAATTTTCGCTACACAATACTTAAACGATTCCAAATCGGATCCTGACTAACCTCTCAAAATTTGAACCCATTTGGTGAGAAACTGATATGGCACAAACCATTTGAAGTTGTATGGGAATTATTATGGTAAAACCAAGATTTTTGTTCATGTCTATCTAATAATTCACCATATCGGTCTGCTTCAAAAGCTTTCAACTTTCAGCTACAACTTTGCTCAAGACCACTTTTTGATTAAATGCAAGGATCGAAAGTTATCAATGGTTCAATGCGCTGATGTCTTATGATCATGCTCAACAGGCAACATTGGTGTTTCTGGGGCGTTGAAAAGGACACAAAAATCATGGCTACTATGTCACACTGCAAAATACAGTGTTGCCTACAGAGCAGCTGCTTGATCATGTCATAAGTTTACCAATCTCTTAAATAATTAATAACTTTTTCCTGTCTCGTTTTACATAGAAACGATCTTGAGCAAAGTTGTAGCTGAAAAAAAATTCTATAAGAATGTTTTGCAGCTCAATATGGAAAAAGACTAGAAGGCAATGAACAAAAAGTTGAAATTTCCCACAGTAATTTACATGTAAACTTCAAATGGTTTGTGCGAAGTCTGCTTCTAACCAAATGAGTTGTAACTTTGGGAGGCTAATCAGGACCCGATTCGAAACCATTTAAGCACTGTGGAGCGAAAAAGTCAAATCAGTATAGTGGTCAGTCTTCAGATAAACTTTAAACAAGGTGTTTATTTCTTGGATGGATACTTATTAATTACTTAACTAAATAGAGGACTTGGGTAATCTGTTTCACCCAGCATTGAAATGATCTGACATGGATTATAATGATATTGAAATTGAGTTTTGTCTTGCTTATTGATTCTACCTTCTTGCAAATGAAAATAATATAAAATATTAGGAGAAACAGTCCTATTGTTGCGGTACGTTAGAATCGTTAGAAGCCTATTGTTGTGTATGGAGGCTACTAGCACTTCTAACGTATAGCAACAATAAGACAATTTCCCCTTACATATTAAACAAAAGGCAGTTAATATACAACCTATTTCAACAACCGTAAAATTTTTTCTTAAATAGTATTATGATTTCAGAGTTATCTCAAAGACATTTAATTTTAAGATTTTCTATAAGTTTTAATCTTATTTTAAAAATTCGCAAGAAACGAATTATTAGTTATTATCTGGAAACCAAAAAGGTGAAACAAAATAAATAAATAAAATAAAAAATACCATTTCATAATTTACGAGAAAGGCACTAGTCACCGGTAGGTGGATTAATCTGGGATGACTCAAAAAAAATCAAATAAATCCTATGATAAAATAAAAATGTCAATTATCGAATTAGCAGTATCTTCATCTTCTTCTTCTTATCATTTCAAGCTTATTGCTTATCGCCTATTAGTTATCTCGTGTGTACACTCAACTTAGTGTTCTAGATGCACTTGTGTACAGTACAATCATACAGTACAGAAGTCGAGAAATTTTCCAATCTAAAAAATACCTAGATCGGACCGGGAATCGAACCCAGCCATCTCCAGCACGGTCTTGCTTTAGAGCTGCCAAAGCTGCCAAATTCAACGAAGCTAATTGTATTGGTAATGATTTAAAAATTTAGCTGAATGGCTTACCCTGCCATCTCAAATTTAGGCCCGCTAATTAGCGATTAAAGAGTTGACGAAAACGTTGAACCTTCAAACATTTTCAAACTGCTCAGGACATCACTGCACCGTTCGAAAAATTCATGTAAATTTCTGCACATAAAATTAACGCTAGATTTGGCATAAAATTACGTGATATTTCGTGTAAATTTTAAGCGCAATATTTCCTATATTAGCAATATTGTATGCAAGCTTGTAAATGATTTCCCTGATAATGCCAAGTATAGCTCAAAATTAAACGAAGGAAGATTTTACGCGATAGTTAAAGTTCAGAATTTTTTTCTGTGTGGTGCTACCAGTATATTCAATATCGCCACCATCATGAGATCGTGGCGTGAATACATATAATTATTTATCACCATGCACCAGCACACCAAACACATATCAATTTATCCATCATGTCAAGTCACTTAAGAGTAACGAATAGAGAAACACCTCAAATGACCGATATGATGAAGAGTCTACAAATGACATTTAGACAGACCGACATAGACAAATGTGTGCATCCACTATCCAGGGCAATCCTTTTTCTTGTTTTTTTTTTTTTCAATGAAACAGCAATCAATCAATCAATCATTGTTCAACGAACCTGCACCGGAGGAGCCGAGTTCGGTCCAGTAGCATGCAGTCCCGGGGCGTTCCCGGTGTTGGCACCAGCCGATGTCGCATTGCCAGTGCTGGGACGGGCGACGACCGCCGACCGGGCGCCTACAATCGCCAAATAGTCAATCAACCGAGGACACAAGGAATCACGCTGTTGTTGTTCAGCCATCGCCAATGTCGTTCAATCGGTTCAATTACCAAGCGTCTCCACCGGTATTAGGCGCCAGAACACAGCGCACGCTTTGACGAGTGGTATGGTGTTTGCGATAATGGTCAGTTAGTAGTAGTTAACTGGAAACGGTTATATTGAGAGTCACGATGTCGACTACCACCGGAAGTCTATGTCATCTTGAGTTCCTTGTCCGGTGTTATCTAATGATGACGATAAAGATGAGGGTTACGTCTGTCTATGATGTGGGTGATTATAGTTCTTTGTTAGCGTTAATTGTCTCCTCCGTTGACCGATAGGTGGTAATTAACGTACAATCGATGGTTTGGTGGTACCATTGTTCATGGTTTCTGAAAATAGACGGAGAAAAATAAATTAATTGTAATGCTCTCGTTCTTAATTTATAAACCAATACGGAGTTCATACAAAAGGTCAAGTGTTTCGGAGGTTAATACTTAATTATTACAGTCATCGACATCTGTAATGTGATTGGACTTGAGTTCTACTACTTTGGAGCCAGTTGCAAATTTTCTAGACTTCCCTGGGTAAAAGTGCGTACCCTACCTACAATGTATACAAATGCAAAATAATGCAGGCCTAATCAGCTTTTATTTGAGAACTGTGAAAGTGCTCAAAGATCAAGTTGAGCCTGTTAAAGCTATAAATAAACACAAGCCACTAATAACATTAAACCATTGAACAAGGGAGAGGTCCCACGTATATCATATTAACAGATTTGCTCATTCATCACATCCAACACCGGAGTGAAGAAGAGATAAATCACAAGGATGTAGAGCATATATGTCTCAAACGTCATCTGACCTTGTGCCACAGGAAACTCGTACCACGGAGAACATGCTCTTGATTATGGCATTTATGGTGTATGCTACATAACTACATGCAGCATGTACGTACATAAGCTGATATGATATTATCAAGGTTTTTGTTTATAGATACAACCCCGTGAAGATGACAGAAGATAAAGCATGAAGGAGTGATCAATGTGGGTGGGTTCTGTACTCGAATGGTTTTCACAGCATGAGTACACTGCATGATGATTATAATTTACAGGTACGTAGGTAGTACCACTGGAACCTTATGGAACAATGACCGATTGTTACGTGGAATAAAACTAAGAACTAAATTTGTTAAAATTTGTATTTCGCAAACGTTCTCGACTATACGCACTCGTCTCCTGCCGATCATGGTACCTGTACTGCTCTAGCTGCTCAGTACAAGTCGATGATGAACAAACACAACTCTATTAACTCATTTTCAGTATCTTCTAAAATTTTCAAAAAATTTAAAAAAAAACTTAACGTAAAGTCGATTGCTCCTAGAAAAGCAATAAAAAGATATTATAAATTATGTGTTTAACACATGTCAATCTCACTCTCAGAGAGTCACAATCAGCGGGTTTATCATTTTCACTCGATCATGAAATCGCTGATTGTGACTCTCTGAATGGGAAATTTTCAGGTTTTATCTGTCAAACGCATACGTTACAGCCTCTTGTACCTCTTGTACCTCTTGTAACCAACTTGTAACTTACAATTACAAAATATCATCATAGCATCTAATGATTTCATAATTCCGAAGAACACATAGCTCATAGCTCTGTGTGATGGCGAAGAGTGTAGTTCAATTTTTTGTGCAGTGAAAATATAATTTTAATTACGAATGAAATTATGTTGTGGGCCGTAGCGGCGCCGGTGGTGTTGTGGTAAGCGTGATTACCTCTCACCCCAGCAGGCCTGGGTTCAATCCCAGTCGGCGCCGTGTTCTGAGGCATAACATCTCTGATCACGCCTTGCTTCGGAAGAGAAGTAAAGCCGTTGGTCCCCGGTTCATTAGTTGATCGGTCGATAGGTAGGGTCTAGGTGTGGGAGCTGCCTCCCTGGCGTCGGCAGCATTGGTACCCAGCACGGAAAACAATATCGACGGAAAATTTTATGATTTATTGCAACGCGTGCCCAAGTGTAATTGTTAACAGGATAAGTAGGATACAGGTTGCAAAAGCAGCTCATTCTCATTAAATTTTGCTTATTTTTCGATCCCCTCGGCGCGATGAAAGTAAGCAATTGCTTTCTTATACTAGTGGGGCCAGAATGCGCTGCTACTGCAAAAAAGGTTATGGTGCATTGTAGTCCGTTCATATTTCAAGTCTCATTGCTTCCAGCGAATATTCGCCTGCACCATCAAGGCATCCTTCGCAAGTTGCTCAGACTCTAGGACGTATTGAAACTATACCTGCTCCTTCAGACTTGCTGCTGTATTATCAGAACGTCGGTGGTATCAAGTGTGATGTCGACGATTTTCGCGTAGCTACCTCGGATCTTTGCTACGACATCATTATTCTCACGGAGACATGATTAGATTCACGCACGCTCTCTCGTCAGGGGTTCGGCGACGATTATGAAGTTTTCCATTGTGATAGGAATGCTGCTAATAGTCGGAAAGTTAAAGGTGGAGGTGTTTTAGTGGCTATAAATTCTAGGTTTAAAGCTAGGTTACCAGAAAATAATGCTTGGATATGCTTAGAGCAGGTGTGGACGTCGATTAAACTGGGCCATCGTACCTTGTTTCTCTGTGCGGTTTACCAATCGGTCTTCTCTGTTCTGGATACCGCCAAAGCTACCGATGAAGTTATTTTGTTTGGTGACTTCAATCTCCCGGGGATTTTATGGAAAAAAAAACTCACAACGGCTTCCTCTTTCCTGACATGGATCACTCTGTCATCCATTCCTACGCTTCGCTTCTTCTGGACAATTACAGCTCAGCCACTCTTTCTCAAATCAACCATGTTATTAACCAGAACAACCGCACTTTCGATCTTTGTTTTGTAAGCGTCCAGGACATGGCTCCTTTCTTATGCGAGGCACCCACTCCTCTGGTGAGACTGAATCGTCACCACCTGCCACTACTGGTGACGTTAAGTACTAAGCTGATGCATGATTTTAATATTTCACCTGCCACCGTTTCCTACGCTTTTCGCAACGCCGACCATGGTAGTATCGCCGAGTTACTCTCCAATTTAGATTGGGACGACTTATTGGACACCGTTGACATTGACAATGTCTTGGCATAAATATATCATTGACAGACACGTTCCGAAAAAGTTTCATCATCATACGACCCATCCACCATGGCATACGAGCGAATTTCGTCGACTGAAATCCAGAAAGAGAGCCGCTCTTAGGAAGTTCACCAAGCACCGCACACTATCCCTTCAACGTCACTATGTCAGGATCAATCACGCATACAAACGAGTTGCGAAACGGTGCTTTCTTCAGTATCGACGTGGATTGCAGAGAAAGCTTAAGTCACGTCCGAAGCAGTTTTGGAAGTTTGTCAACGAACAACGTCATGAAACTGGTCTGCCGTCGTCTATGACACATAATGGTAACGTGGCCTCATCTACGCAAGATATCTGTCAACTGTTCTCTGAAAAATTTGCTAGTGTCTTCACGGACGAGAGACTGAGTGACGACCATGCCTGACTGGCTGCCAGGTACGTCCCACTCTCTGGCCAAACCATGAGCAGAATTGACATCAATCCCGAGATGTTTTTCAGGGCTTCCTCGAAACTCAAGTCGTCGTACAATCCGGGTCCTGACGGAATTCCATCGGCGTTCCTCAATACGCACTTGGACAGTTTGTTGTCTCCACTGCTGCACGTTTTTCAACGGTCTGTGGACGTCGGTGTTTTCTCATCCTGTTGGAAGCTAGCGCACATGTTTCCAGTACATAAAAAAGGCAACAAACAGGACGTTGGTAACTACCGTGGCATTATTTCGCTTAGCGCTGTTGCTAAATTGTTCGAACTCGTTGTTATGAAACCGTTACTCGCTCACTGTAAGCCATATATTAGTATCGACCAGCATGGTTTCATGGCTGGTCGCTCCACTGCCACTAAATTGCTGTGCCTTACTTCCTACATCTCTAACAGTATGTCGGATCGTGCTCAGACGGATGTCATTTATACTGACTTATCTGCTGCCTTCGATAAATTGAATCACCGCATATCAATCGCTAAACTGGACAGGCTTGGTATCCACAGCTGCCTTTTGCAATGGTTTCAGTCGTACCTCACCGATCGCTATCTTACTGTTGTCATTGGTGATCACCAGTCCCGTACGTTCGCTGCCATATCCGGCATACCCCAGGGTAGTCACCTGGGACCGCTGATTTTCCTGATTTATTTAAACGACGTGAATCTGGTAATTGAGGGACCACGATTATCTTACGCAGATGACCTTAAACTTTACCTCCGAATTCACTCAATTGAAGACTGTTGCTTCCTTCAACGTCAGCTGAATGCTTTTGCTGATTGGTGTATTCTGAATCGTATGGAGGTTAACCCGTCCAAATGCTTGGTTATCTCTTTTTCACGCAAGAAAGAGACTATTATGTTCAAGTATGTTTTGTTAGGCACTGAAATTGAGCGCGTCAGCCAAATTCAGGACCTAGGCGTGATTCTGGATACAAAACTCTCTTTCAAGCAGCACATCTCGCACACCGTCGACAAAGCTTCCAGAATTCTAGGGTTTATCTTCAGGATTGCCAAAGACTTCATGGATATCTACTGCCTTAAATCGTTGTACTGCTCCTTGTCTCGCTCCATATTAGAATACTGCTCGGTTGTCTGGACTCCTCACTACAACAACGGTGTCGAAAGAGTTGAGTCTGTTCAGTGACGGTTCCTGAGATATTTATGCGCTACGTAAACTGCCGTGGACGGATCCCTTTCGATTGCCTAGCTACGAAAGTCGTTTGCAACTGATCCATCTGGAGCGCCTGTCGGTCCGAAGAGATACAGCAAGGGCATTGCTAATTGCGGATATTTTGCAAGGACGCACCGATTGCCCTGTCCTCCTAGAGCAAATTGACATCAATGTTCAACCCCGAGCCCTACGGAATAATTCAATGTTGCACCTTCCCATACAGCGAACTAATTATGGCATGTTCGGTGCAATTGGTGGTTTACAGAGACTCTTCAATTCAACGTCTCGAAGTGTTGGCGGGCATGTTGCCACTATCGGATCGGATTTCGGAATTGTCCCTCAGGCTCCTCACCCGTTGTGAAGTTATGAACCCACTGGTAATCGAAAACTTTGAGAAGCTTCTTGAGCTAAACCCTCAAACTCGTTTTATGTCATTGTACTACGTGTACATAACTCAGGATGTCAGCCCTTCACAGCATAATCCCCATCGTGTATGCTTCTCCGACTTCGGCAATTCAGTTAGTTTTGATTTATCAATGACGCGGGAGATTCGTGGAATCCCAGAACATCATCACGAATTTCATAGCGTCTCCCGAATGCTTCATGCTCCTTGTTCCGTATATGTTGCTGAACTGGCGGCAATACACTATACGCTAGAAACGATCGCCTCACTTGCACCAGATCACTATTTTATTTTTACGGATATTCTTAGTTCTGTCGAGGCTATTCGCTCCATGAGGCCGGTAAAGCACTCCTCGTATTTTCTCATGAAAATACGAGAGCTTCTAAGTGCTTTATCTTTAAGATCTTTTGTCATCACCTTTGCATGGGTCCCATCTCATTGCTCGATTCCGGGCAATGAGAAGGCGGACTCGCTTGCAAAGGTGGGCGCTATGGAAGGCGATATTTACGATCGACAAATCGCCTACAATGAATTTTTCTTCATTTATCGTCAACAGTCGCTCGCCAGCTGGCAAAATAAATGCAGTGAAGGGAGTTTGGGACGATGGCTATTCTCGATCATCCCTAAGGTGTCGAAGAGTCCTTGGTTCAAGGGGTTGGATGTGGGTCGAGACTTCATTCGTCTGATGTCTCGCCTCATGTCCAATCACTATTCGTTAAACGCTCACTTGTTTCGTGTTGGGCTGGGAGACAGCAATCTCTGTGAATGCGGACAAGGTTACCAAGACGCCGATCACATCCTTTGGTCTTGTGCTGAGCATCGTGGAGTCAGATCTGAGCTGTGCGATTCCCTTCGGGCTCGAGGTAGACAACCTAATGTTCCAGTTCGGGATATTTTGGCTAGACGTGATCTGGAGTTTATGAAACTCATATATGTTTACTTTTAGAATACTAACCTTAGATTGTAAGTTTGATTAACCTTGTGTTTAGTTTGTGTATTGTGCATGTAGTTTTTTTTTTAATGTTTGTTTTCAAGATGAATAGAAATAAGTTCATGTTTTAGGATTAATTAAATATTTGTATAATAAATCATATTTCAAACCTCCTTCTCCCTTTCCTCATCCAAAAAATTGTAAATCTCCACTAACCTCGAGACGACCGCGAGTAATCGGTTCAATTCCTTTAACTCTAGATTTAAGACATTAATCATGTATAATGCAAATGATAACTCGGCTCTGTAAAGTTTATTCGATTGAGCCTGTACAAATAAATTAATACAAAAAAAAGAGACTCTTCAATAGTATCTCCGCACTGTTTGATTTTGACCTGACTCGCCAGCTGCTTCGCCGAAGGTTTAGTTCGTTTTTTTCTAGATCAGTTTAGCTTGTTTAGTAATGTTCCTTTTTTTTACGAGATGACTATCTATGTACTTATTGATGTTTTGTTTAAGTACTTTTCATGTTTAGTTTAAGTTACATCATTGGGGCAAATAACGCCTGTTGATGTTCAGTAATTTTTTTCCTTGGTTTTGTTTTCCGTTGATCCTGTTTTCCGTGCTGAGCACTAATGCTACCGACGCCAGGAAGGCAGTTCCCACACCTGGACCCTACCTATCGACCCATCAACTCATGAACCGGCGACCAACGGCTTTACTTCCCTTCCGAAGGAAGGCGTGATCAGAGATGGTATGCCTCAGAACATCCCGGCGGCGCCGACTGGAATTAAACCCAGGCCTGCTGGGGTGAGAGGTAATCACGCTTACCACTACACCACCGGCGCCGCTATGTTCAGTCATATAAATAAATAAATAAATATTTAGACAGACATGCCAAATTTCAGTGCGATACTGTCTTTAGTTTTGTTTTGACAGCTGATTATTGTTGACGTGTTTGGCATCATGTTGAGTATGGATAAAAACGATTTTCGTTCTCTCATTAAACATTATTTTTTGAGAGGCAAAACGGTAAAAGAATCAAAAGAAAAGTTGGTTAAATATTATGGGGCTAATGCTCCGTCATATTACACCGTCAAATATTGGTTTCGAGAGTTTCGTGGTGGTGACAGAGGACAATGTCAAAAAAAATACATGAAATGGTGTTGGCTGACTGAAAAGTGAAGGTGCGCGAGCTACCAAAAATAGTACTGAGCGCACGCTGTGCAAAGATTAGTACTGTGCATTATTGGAGCGATTGAAGGCCGAAATCGCTGCAAAACGGCTTCACATGAAGCAAAAACAAAATGTTTTTGCTAGACAATGTGCAATGCTCCAATTGCTTCCGAATCCACCGTATTCGCCCGATTTGGCTCCCTCAGACTATTGATGAATCTACGTTACGGTCGACCAGCAGATGGAAATTAGAGTCGGTGTATAATGAGTCACGCCAAGAGTGAAGCCAAGTCTACCTATTGAACTGTCAAACCGGCTACCTATCGTGCAAAGTAAACAAGCATTAAACGCTGTACAGACTGGAGAGTTATAACATGTTATAACGGTTGTCAAATAATTGCAACACAGAAACCAACATCAAGATAGCGCAATAACATGTTATAACTCTGTAGTCTGAACGTACTAGTGAGCATTACATTTGTCATGCGATACGTTTTGTAATGATCAGTAATGACAACCCAACAAACATTGCATGTTAAATAAGAGCTTATTCAGACAAAAATAAGCTTCTTCAGCAACAAAATGGCTTATTTAGCTGTTAATCAACTCAAATTGTTTGTTGGGAATTTCTACTATTTTTCTTTAAGATAATTCGACAAAATCACTGATATAATGATTTACTACAGCCGTTAATTTTTTTCCTCGCTAGAAGTCATTTGAAGTTGATGCAGAAGTCCTCTGTTGCCAAGTTAAAAGAAAGGGAATCTTTCGAAAACCGTGATGCGAGTTCAACTGTTTTTCTCTTGGCATGACTCATTATACACCGACTCTAATGGAAATGATGAGAAAATGAAAATGACGTTTTGCTACCTGTCAAATCGTATGGAATATTTTTTAGTACATCATCACTTTGTGGTTTTGGATTTCAAACCTAGGTGTCCCATGCACTGGTGCAGTTTCACGTAGATTCATCAATTATATCTTCTCAAACCTCAAAAGATGGCTCATCAATCAAAAATTCAGCTCACGTGAGGAAACCATCGACGCCGCGGAGGAGTATTTTGCAGACCTTCCGGAAAATTACTTTCTGGACGGGATCATGAAGTTGGAAAATCGCTGGAATAAGTGTATCCAGCTAAAAGGGGACTATATTGAATAAAATAAAAAAGCCTATTGATGAATCTACGCGAAACTGCACCAGTGCATGCGACACCTAGGTTTGAAATACAAAACCACAAAAGTGATGATGTACTAAAAAATATTCCATGCGATTTGACAGCTAGCAAAACGTCATTATGATTTTCACATCATTTCCATCTGCTGGCCGACCGTAACGTAGATTCATCAATAAAAAATTCATTCCCAAGGAGGTAATTTTTAACCCCACTTTAGTTGAAATTAAACATATTTGCTAAATTAGGTAAAACCACTGGAGTAGATAATTTTAAATCCATAGTTATTCAAGTTTGCTTTCATGTCATTCGACACACTCTGTTGGACCTTATGGGAGGGTTGCAACCTTTGGTTGCACGAGATTGCAGCTGTTGCAGGTACTTTGGATACCAGCGGGACCAGATCTGCTGCAGATCCTTCTGGGTCAAGTTCCAGTGGTCCAAACGGTTGTCTGCGGTCTCCTTCCAATTTGGCGTAGGAACCGCTTGGAGATTAGTCCCAACAAGGAAGTGTCCTAGAGTTAGGACGTCTAGATCGGTAGGATCCTATGGGATCGGCGTTAGAGGCCGAGCATTGAGGCACATATCGACTTGCGCTAACAACGTAAGCAGATCCTCGTAGGCAAAGTTAACGTTACCGACGACCTTGAGAAGGTGATTTTTCGCCGATTTGACTGCGGCCTCCCAGAGGCCTTCAAAGTGTGGTGCTCTAGGCGGAATGAACTTCCAAGTAATTTCGTTCTCGGCACACCAGTCGAAGATTTGTTGTCGTTCGGCGGCTTCAGCCTTCAGACTCTGTTGAGAGCATGTGAAGCACCTTTGAAGGTAATGGTGTTATCGGAATGGAGTTCGACGACTTTTCCTCGGCGGACGACTAGACGAAGGAGTGCAGCTAGGAACGCAGGAGTTGACAAGTCACTCACTAATTCTATGTGGACAGCCTTGGTTGAGAAGCAGACGAAGATGGCCACGTAGACTTTGGTAGGTCCACGATTTCTAACTGCTGACTTCACGTAAAAGGGCCCACAATAGTCAACACCGTACAAGGAAAACGGACGCGTCGGGGAAACTCGCGATACCGGCAGATCGGCTGTGCTCTGCTGGACTAGAGTGAGCTTGAATCGGAAACAAGTGTGGCATTGGTGGAAGACGGACTTAACTAGATTTCTGCCACCCATGATCCAGAACTTCTAACGGAGAGTGGCTAGCAGGAGTTGCGGACCTGCGTGGAGTAGGCTTACATGGTAACTGCTAGCCAGCAGAGCAGACAACGCATGTTTGGCGGACAGAACGATTGGGTGCTTATTAGCGACGGAAAGCGCATAGTTACTTAGACGACCACCGACGCGAAGATTACCGTCTTCAACCATGAAGGGTTTCAGCCACTTGAGTGCTGAAGATTTGGCGACGCGGTCGCTGTTTGATAGATCCGATAACTCCTCGTCGAAAGTTTCATGCTGCGCTAAGCGGCAGAGTAGCTGTTCAGCGTGTTGGAGCTCGATAGTGCAAAGTGGAATGACAAACGGTGGCTTGAGTTGGCTGCTAACGTTCAACGCACAGTTCGAAAAAGTAGTGTAAATTTCTGTTCAGTATGATGCACATAAATGGAGCGTCACATATGATATAAGTTTACATTATATATCATGTAAAGTTCTGAGACATTTCATGCAATGTAGCAAATATTGTATACAAAAGCCCATTGTTGTAAACAACATTGTTCACAAGTTGCTCGGTTGCGTGAAATGAAATACATGTTTACGTTAATGAATGTTTACATCAATATTAAAATTCAGAATTTTTATCTGTGCGGGGCAGGATTTGATCCGGAACGGCGTAACTGTGAGTGTTCCTTCAGGCGCTGTAGATAACGACCGCAGAATGCTACACGGATAGAAATCTCCTTATACCTTTTGGCAAATTTCTATTGTTGATTATTCATAAAATGTATAAGTCAACTAATAAGCAGACGCCTTGCAAAAAGTTAATGAAGATCATGTGTCAAATGAAATGTATAAGCGGTCACACATACCTTTAATGTATCCTTATAGGAGCTATGTGGTATGTCTTATGGAATGTATAAGGCTTATGCTTTGGCAAAAATGTATAAGTGAAACACATGAATAAAATAATTGATTTTCGTTTCGTGTACTACTCGGCGTAGCTTGTTGTACCGAGAGTAGCGGAAAAACAACTCCTCACAGAAATTGATTTGTGCGGCGGTCATTGCAACAATTGGAGTCTTGCGTCCTTCTTCGGCTGCTACGGAAGAGTTTTCCTGGTCGATGATGATTACAGGCTATTGATCAGGAGTCAGCGAAAGCCAGGATGGGCCGTGCTACCAACGAGAACAATTTAGGATGTCTTTTGGTATGAAACCACGAGAAGTGTCATCGGCGGGATTCTCGGAACCAGCAATATGCCTCCAGTAGTCGATATTCGTAGTGGTCTGGATCTTGGACACTCGGTTAGCGACGAATGTCTTCCAACGAGTTGGAGAAGCGCGCAGCCACTAACGGCACGGCGAGTATCGCCATCATTTGGTCATTTATTAGTGTATGGTACCCGTTTATTAGGGTTATAACTTGACCACTTATAGATGGATTTCGATTCTCATCACACCATTTGATTCATATTTAATGTAAGATTTGATTGCTATGCAGATTATAGTAGTTTATCATAAGAAAACTATTGAAAATTTATCAAATGCAATCAACCAACCGCGTACATGATTGCTGTAACTAAATATATCATATTAACAATATGATCCACTCATGCCTTTTCCAAATGCTGCAATGGTGACCCGCAAAATATTGCTTCACGTAGATGGTGCGTTGAAAAAGGTCAGCAACAATCATTCAATTACAATCCAGGGGTGTGAATATAGCACTTATTACAAAATTAAGAGTCGAATTATTTTCATAAATTACATTGTGTATATTACTTTGAAATTTGTCTGACATGTCACTGTTGTCATCAAGTTAAATAAAATGCTTAAATACATTCATTTGAAATATTAAACAAATTTTCATTTGATTTACCACTCGTGACGATAAACAATACATTGGTAGCCTTTTTGGCCACAGAGGTGCTTTCATCGCTAAAAATTCGGTTCGCCAGGTAAGTGAAAGAGTGGATCATATTGTTAATATAATATCACAGACAAACAGACGTAACACTTCATTGTGTATCTTCGTTCACGCATTTAACGGTTGATTTGAATATTATAAGTTCCGCGAACTACTCGCCGCAGCGCTGGCATCGGATCACTTTGACGTTTCTATACATTCTATAGAACTTTTATGCAATATTGTTTGCGAGTTAACGAGCAAGCTTGTTTTCCGCGAGAAGCCCGAGAGATGTCGTTACTGAGGTTCTATGTTTTGAGATACTATGTATTCAAGAAAAACTTTTTCAAAGAGTTACGTCTGTTTGTCTGTGATAATATATTTGCTGTAACTAACGAGAGAACAGACAGAGACAAGCCGAAAGCGAGGTTATAAAAAAGCGTACCTATACGTTTTGTTTCAGTTCGTTTGTATATGTGTCCATTGTCATATCGTTGACTTCTAAAGGCCCACGCACATTAGATCCGGATCGAAAACGTTGTGAAAAAGTGACAGCTAAATCTATTGTTTAACTGTCAAATTTACGTCAACGCAACGCAAACGGATCTAATGTGGGTGGACCTTAAGTGAATGCTTCGTACTGTTTCATCACCAAAGAGCGATTAGTTTTTAAATGTTTCGGCATGGCGACTTGATAATGGATGGCTAACTTATTTTTTTATTAAAATATCAATAATTTTGCACTTTGTTCCATACATTATTTCTACATAATATCGCTATTGCTACAAAGAACAAAATGTAGAAATCATCGGAAGAAACAATATTTCAAGAGAGATTTTACGATTTTCCGAAAATGTCCACACTACTTGGTTTAGCCACCACCAGAATCTTGTACTGCTATCTTTTAGAATCGATGGTGAAAACAGTAATCAATTGTTTACTATACCTTGACATTTCAACAAGATAGATCGTTGCGATATTCATCAAAGTTGGTTCGATGAATAAAGGGTTGTGCATAAATCATGTAGACATTTCAGTGGGAAGATAGTTTTGCGAGTGTCTATGATCTATGATCCATTCAAATTTCCAAACCCACCATTCACTAACCAGGTGACGCTAGTATGCAATTTGACATCTTATTATTTACTATAACTTGATAGCTCGACCAGATAGAAGCTTGCAGCCGTGAGTAAAGTTGTTCTAAATGACTAAACCTGTCGTTTAGTGGGACATTACAAACCGAGGAGATCGAAGTAGGTCGCGCTGGAAAGTTGACACGTTTTTAATTTTGCTGCTGATTTTCATTTGGTGATTTTAACCATTTTAATCATGTTAACAAACTTGTTTAACTGTTCAAAATATCATGGACGGGATTGGATAGATCAGACCATGGCAGATGATAAGTGAACAAGAAAAAGAAAAAAGGAAGATCCTGGAGCGGTGTTTGTTGGGAGCTGTCTTAGCTGATGGGCAAAGAAAATCCTAAGATCACGATGGTGTGAATCCAGCAGGCTTATAGTGATACTGAGAGATGCCGGACTGTTGCATTTGATGCATCTCTTTCCGAGGGCTAGCAACGAGTAGCGGTTTTCCTTAATCAAGAACCAAGAAACTTTTCTGAATTGTATTCGGGAGCTTCAAGCATTATTCGGGTGAGATTCTTCCTTTTTATTTATTTAGTTCGTAACATTATGTTACGCTTGGTGGCCTAGTGGCTGCTGCGTTTGCTTACTGTGCATAAGATCGTAGGTTTATTATCAAATTCCCCAAAAAAAACAAACATATGCTTTTGGTTGTATCGCCTGGTTGAGGCGAATCCTGACCTAATACCGTACCCAATACTCCAACTCCGTAGTACTTATAAGGGTGTCACTACTTCGGTGGCCTCTCGTTGAGTATATACTACATCAACCATTTCCTTTCCTATCCCTAGTTACGGTAAATATAGGCATACAAAAGGAAAAGTTCGCGAGTCATTGTGAGTTTTAGCGAACTTTTCCCTGTAGATTGATTAGAGACCCGTTTTTGTCAGTTTTTACACAAGGGAAGATAGAACTAGGGTTCCTTCCTCTTTTTCCTTTCTCCTACGGCCTTTTATTCCATTTTTTCTTTTCAGAAAGCGAGTAATGGCGCTATAACCATAAGCCATATAGGGCTAAGACAAGAGCTAGTACTCATGTGCCAACCACTCGAGGAAAATGGAGCATCATTTAACTTTTTTTTTAGATGAAATGCTCCCAGCGACCAATCATTTATAATAACGGAAGGTACGGTACGAGATGTCCACGTTTCATCCATTTATTGGATTCAGGCCCGATGTTTCTGAATCATCTTGCCCCTTGTATGCTGCACAGTAGGCCTGGCCGTTTTGATATATTTTGCGCATCTCTGATGTACAAAATATATCAAATAGACAAGAAAAAGGATGGAGGTATATCTATCATTTTCCAGGATGCTTTCATGAACTGGCTGTGTTGGTGTTAGATTAGATTAGATTAGATAACTAAAACTATCGTTTGGTGGACACTTCAGTTGAAAATTCGCTCACCACTAGTGCCATTTGATTATAATGGCTTGCTTAGATCGTCATCTCGACTAGATAAAAGCTTGCGGTCTTGAGTTACATTCTTCAGGTGCCAAAGACCGGTTGTATAGTGGTCAGCACAGTTCAAAATTCTCACACCAGGTGGAACGAGGGTTCGATTTGGCATGTAATTATTTGCTTTTACTTTTACCTTTTGGCAAAGGCATTCAGATTTATAAGATCTATTTCTTCACAGCAGCATATTTGTCACAAAACGGTTGTGGAAACTTCAATGGTACTTTCAATTTCAATAAAAAAAAAGAAATAAGTTGCTGCAACTTGTCATGGCGGACACAACCCTTAACTTGTTTTGCTTCGAGTCTTTCAGGAACAAACAAACAAACTCATTCTATATAGGTTTTCGAGGGAAAAAACACTCTTCCGAATGTCGCAACAACCTTGAACCGGTGGAATTTTCTAACAATGAACCTCATCACCCGGTATGTCGAATAGGTTTTCTTCTGAACGATGATGAAGCTTTTCATTTCGCATTGAAAAGCAAACACCCAAGCTATTTCTCCTGAATACCGTCAAATTCAATGAAAGCTGCCCAAAATGCCATCATCTGCCCCGGGAAGTAATCCACTCAAATGCGTTCGCATCACGGCTGTGACACAGTGAAATATGTATCATACATCTATATGTAATATCCTACCATCCCCCTGCACGGCCCTAGTTTGGATTTGGTATCTAGTGAGTATGGCAAGGTATAGAAGCAACA